AGACCTCATCTCTACAATAAATCAAAAAATCAGCAGGGCGTGGTAGCGCATGCCTGTAATTCCGGCTACTCGGAAGGCTGAGGCACAAGGATCGCTGGAGTCCAGCAGGTTGAGGCTGCGGTGGCCGGGAGCGGCCACTGCACTCCAGTTTGGGCAACAGAGTGAGACTCCAACTCAAAAAAATAAAAAAAAAGAGTATATAAATGCGACTTCTAAGAATCTCTCAAAATAAGAACAAAATTTTGATATAAACATATTTATGGCAGTGCCATTTTAAATAGTAAAAAAAAAAAAGGAAACAGCTCAAATATCTAACAATAGGCAATTGGTTACATAATTACTTGTAAGCCATAGAATAAAATAAATATTAAACAGAAATTAAGACAAAATAAAACATTATTTTCCAAAAATGCCAAAAGGCAAAATGTTTAAGATGTAATGTTATGAAAAAATAATGTCTGTCCATATGGACCCAGTGTTCTCATGCACACACTCACACGTACAGAAAAAAAAAAGATGAAAGGAAAGGCTGGTTAAAGTGCAGTTTTTGCAACTAATTGATCACAATCAGTTACAGATTTCTTTTATCCTTCTCCACTCCCACTGCCTCACTTGATTATAAAGCATTTTTTAATTAAAAAAAGAAACAGCATCCAATTATCACAATAATGCTAATATTATGATATTGGGTTATTTTTACTTTCTTTCTTACATGTCTGCGTAGTTTATAAATGATCTGCAATAGATATGAAATTTATTTCTAAACAAAAAAGAAAATTATAGACACATGCTCACATTACACACACACACAGACACACAAACACAGACACATAGACACACACACAAAATGCTACTTCCTTTCAGGTTGCATGAATCCTAAAATAGAGATTCTAAAATATTAAGCATACTTGGATAAATGAGGAAAATCTGTCATGTCATTTATACCAGCCATTCCACTCCACAGATAAAACATCGAGGTCCTTGTCAAAGTCACACGCTCCTCTGCTCCTCAGGTAGAACCAGCATATGCTTGGTTCCTTTTCCTGTGAACTTAACCACCATTCAGCTTTTCTATGAAAGTTTGACTTAACAATGTCCAATGATAAATTTGGCCCTCTGGGCTGCCAGGGAAGCTCTAGACTCACCAGGTTCTGCAGTCACTGGCAGGAGCTGAGTTAGATCCTGCAGGAACTTTCATCCTAGTCTAGGTCAAACTCCATCCTTATGGCTTATCCCTCTCCGAAAAGAAAACATTTGAGTGTTATTAGACCCAACTCTAGGGGTTGAGGTGAATTTCATTATCAGAGCCTGGTAGGGAACTCAGAAACTGAAAACTGGCAGTGAATCTCATGGGCAATGAGCTAAGAGTTGGCAACAGGCTTGCAGCAGGATAACCTGTCATGCCCATGAGGAGTAGCGGCGTGGTTCACATCTTGTGTTCTATGGGCTCAGGGGAAACATCACCTAGCTTTCACTCTCCTGTCACTCATCTGACATGAAGGAGAAAGAACATGAAGTCATCCTCCATGCTGGGCAGCAGTGGAAGACCTTTGAAGGCCAAGAGGAAGTTGGAGCCACCAAGCACCAGGCACTAACAGACTGACTTCTAAACAACCATGGGGTTCGGGGCTCTGCAGGGTGGACAGTGGCTGTCTCAGAGCCTTCTTTCTCCCCAGGAGGCTGAGGCTCAAACCCAGAACGCATGCGAATCATCCCAACTTGGAGGCTAGTCATAGCTCTGTCTTTCCCTAAATGTGTGACTTTCACAAGTTTCTTAACTTTTCTGAATCTTCGTTTCATTGCCCAGGAAGGTTAAATCCATACTTGGTTCACATAACATCTATGTGGTTCATAAATGTATTGAGAATCTACCATGTGCCAGACCCTTTGCCAAGTGTTTATACTACATAGTTTCTAGAACATTGAAATTAGATTCCTGCTTTCAGACTCTGTATAGGGATTATATTGACCACCACTACAGACCAATCATTTTACAGGCATTACAAGTGATTCTTATAACCACCTGATGTGTTGATTTTTATCTCCGCTAGACAGATATAGCAACTGAGGCTTTGAGACACCAAGTAACTTATGCAAAGTCACAAGGTAGAAGGTCTACCTTTTTCTGCTATACCTGCCTTGAAAATAGGGACTTGAGAGGTATGTTCCAATGTGTGCCATGAAGAAACTCTCTTTGCATGACCCACCTCAGCCTAGGACTTAACAACTTCTTAGTGGGTTCCAATGTTCAGGATAACTTATAGAGGGAGTTTACCACCAGACTTCTTACAATATTAATTTTTTTTCCAAACCCCACTGCGGTTAGCTATCATCAGGTTTGGTCTGCCGAAGTAACCTTCATGGACTCAACCCTCCTAAATGAACAAGCATTCACATTTCAGTTTCCTTAGAGGGGTAATTGGTTGGGTGAAGGCACCAGTTCAAAACTCATCTCCATCTGCTTATAGAGTGGCAAAAATGCTCAAGGAGACCCAGACATCAGAGAGAGAATTCGGTGTGATCCCAAAGCCCCACTAACTCGCATACCTCCTTTCCCAAGCTTGCCTATGGCCCCTGACACCCAGGGACACCCAACTGTGTCCCCAGTTAGCTGCCCTTCCTGGCTGTGACTCAGGGCAAGCTTCCTCCTTCCTAAATAATGGATTATCCGGTGTCCGGGGTTTGTAAATAAAGCACACCAGGAGAACAGGCATTTCCAAAGTTGCTTACTCAAGGAAGGGGAGGAAAAAAGTACAGTTTGAAGCATTTGTTATATGGCAAAGTTAAAGTAAATCAATAAACGCAAGGCCATTACCAGAGCAAAACTTACCCACCCTGTTAGTCCCAGCTTCTCCTCCTCAACTGTGAAACTTTGTCACCAGGCAACAAGAGGCTTAGGACCTGGAGTTAATTACATAATACTAATGCCAGCCTACAAAGTGAAAGGACACAAGGCTGGAAGGGTTTCTAAGACACTCCAATTTTTAGTCAGGCCTGCCTCACCCCAACACGGAGGGAACTCCAGGCCTCAAACCCCTGTAACTCCTGGTAGTTGAGCTTTTTGTTCTGCAGCAGTGTGGTGGGACAGGATTAGAGTTTCAGGACAGATCCTGTTTCCATGGCTACCACCTGGGGTTCATGTTGCTACAGAGGGAAGGGACAATGAAAGGACACATTTCATTTGCATAGAATCTAGTCTTATGAAACATCACTTCACTTCCTTCTAATCTGTGCAGATATTTTTTTCTGCTCTTTGTTTTTTGAGAGGTCTGTATTTTATCTGTTTATTTATTTGAGTTAAATTATTCCTTGCTGTTTTGATTCTCTTTGTACTCCTTTTACACTATGAAATCAGAATAACTAATACTCATGAAATCATACAATTCTGCAATCATATTTTCTCACATGATACTATTCCAGTAAATGCTGATGTGTAGGTTCTAAAATCTACATCTTGAATGTATGCACAGTACTAAGACTGGTGAACCTTGCTTTTCCTGTTGTTCCCAGTTTGACACGGTCATGAAATAAGCTGCAATGAATATATAATATTTATGCATCTGTGGTTTTCTTTTTCAGTTTTGTTTCCTTACATTAAATTTCCAGGCATTGAGAAAATTATCAAAACAAATTAAATAATAAACGTATTATGAAGACAATAAAACATTGTAGAAAAATTAGAATATATGTATGTAGAAATAAAAATGATTTAAATTTTTTCCACCAAAAATGAGAAAATAAAATAATTAGTAAATCAATTAAATAAATAATTTTAAATCCAAAATTAATTTAAGCAATAAGCATTTTGGAAAGCAGTAAACATTTTGGAAAGTACCAAAGAAAGTAAAATGAAATAGCTTCAATTTAGAAATAAAAATAAATAAAATAGTTAAATAAAATTTTGAATATATAAACACCACCAGTATTATTTTAGTCCAAAAATGAAATAAAATACATCATTTACTTTAGATGGAAAATGTATTTAAGTGAATTCATAAATAAAAGTAACCAGTTCCACTACCCAGTTTGCTCCTAATTAGAATATATTTGAAAATACATAACTTAAATTCAAAAGTAAGTCATATAAAACTCATCAAATACAATAAAAATTAAAATCAATATTTCAAAGAAGAAAACATACAAGAAGATAAATTTTTCTTTTTTTTTTTGAGTTGGAGTCTCATTCTGTCACCCAGGCTGGAGTACAGTGGCACACTCACAGCCACCCCAGTGTTGACCTGCTGGGCTCAGGTGATCCTTCTGCCTCAGCCTTTCAAGGAACCGGAACTACAGGTGCACACTACCACACCTGGCTAATTTTTTATTTATTGTAGAGATGAGGTCTCACCTAGTTGCCTGGGCTGGTCTCAAACCCGCAGGCTCAGGCAATCCACTCACCTCGGCCTCCCAAAGTGCTAGGATTGCAGGCTGAGCCACCAAGCCCAACCGATAAATACATTTCAAGATATAGATATGTAAAACCTTATAAAAATTAAAACCACTCATAATTACACTATTTTAGGTAACTTTATACTTCATAAACTTTAGCCTTTTAACACATCTACAGTATCATGTTATAACATGATTATGCAATAACACTTTGATAAATTTACTAAAGCTTGTTTTTTTTTTTTGTAACTAAATGCATCCAAATATTGGCAGATAGCTGGCTTTAATGCAGTCAGAATTATGATATTTGTTGTTTGTTTTCATTTATTTTTCTTACTTCAGAGTCAGAGCCCTTTGGCAAGATCTGGTCCTGGTAGCAACTCTCAGCAGTCTGTGCCTCTGGTGTTTATGATGACTACTGTGTACCAGGCATTAAGGTGGGCACCAGCAATCAATTTCCCACCTCCCCAACCTGTACATAACTTTCTTGACCCAGGCCTCCATTTCCTTATCTGTAAATGGCAATAATGGCTGCTTCATTGGGTCTTTGTGAGAATTAGACAACAGGCAAAAATTCTTTGCAATCTATAATAAGTTAGGCAATTGTTGAGTGTTATTATAAGGTTTAGAACTGGATGCAAGATTTCTACGTGGAAGGGAAATGAAGAAAAGTAGGAAGTTATAACAGAGAAGATCAACATCCTGTTAGTCCAAGGAGAAGTCTCTGGTTTGAAAGAACATGTCTGTCTCTTTGTGGATTTCTATTGACCTATCATCTAGATTTGAAAACTGAAGTCTGGATTGACCCGGATTTGCTTCTTAGGGGGAAAAAAAAACTGGGGAGAGTGGAAATGTGTTTGACTTTTCACTGACCAACTTTGTTCATGCCACACTCTACACCCTCAGCATCAACCAGCTCAAATGCTCCCTCCCTATGCAGAAAGTCTCCCCAGCAAAGACTGTGCAAGAATACGGTTGCCCTATCCTGAGAAGAGCTTAAATGCATCAGCAGGAAAGTGTCTCCAACTTGCCAAGATATGTAACATTTCTTTCTCATTGTGGTTTGTACATTCCTGATACTTCTTTTTAAATTTTTTTTTTAATTTTAGAGATGGGGGGTACAATTCAGGGTTAGGTATTCAAATGTTCGTTATGCAGGTACTCTTGTTGATGAGATGTGGTCCTCATTCCCTGGCAGTTTTCCACTATTGCCAATCCCTTTCTTATAATATTATGATAATTGTCCAAGGTCTGCTTATGAGTGAAACATATGGTACTCTGCTCTTTGTTTCTGTGATAGATCATTGAGTATGATAGACTCTAAATCCATCCAAGCTGCTGCAAAATCCATGTTTGTCCCTCTTTATGACTGCAATGATATTCCATTGTGTATATGTACCACATTTTTTATCCAATCCAGTTTCCATGCATTCCTGATACTTCTTATCTGAATAATCAAATCCCTCAGTCACTCATTAATCTATTTTACCTCAGCAAAACTGTTTTCAAAATAGGCAACACAGCATGGGAGAATTTAGAGAGGTGAAATGATTTTAAAATGTGTCTGCTTTAGCTCAGGGACCCAGGTTAACCTGTGGGCCTTCCTTAGATGTCTGCCAGGTTAGGGTTAGACCTATCTGCCTGGTTCCACAGGAGAGAATGAGGATGAGCAGAGACACCCAGACCCTTTTCTGATCTGAGAGGGTACAGCCTCCAGCCAGATTGGTCCCTGGACAGAAAACCTTTGGTCTGAGGGCTAACCCATCACCTCTTGAAGACCCAGTTCCTTAGGGAAGATATGAACTCTTAGGCTATGCCTTTGGTTCTCTCTCTACTGCTCCCTCTGGGACTCTGGGCTTCACAGTATGGTGGAGGAACTGGTGCAGCAGGGTTGACACAAGAGGTCGCTGATAATGTGAACTGCGGAGTAGAGAATGCACCAAGGTCACATGGCAGTAGCTTTTAGGTTTCTAAAGCACATCTACAGGGTAATGGACAGAGATTTGGTTAAAAACGAAGCCACATGAGTAAAATCATCTCTCAAAATAAGAAATAACTTGAACTACCCCAAAAGTTCTGAATTGGAGGCCATCTTTCCATCTTTGGAAGTCATCTAGCAGAGGTTAGACACCTGCCCCGGTCAAAGAGTGATGTGGATAAGTTGATATGTTATCCTCTGGGGGCCCACCATGCTAGGACCTCCTGAGTCCTCACTGACTTCATTTGAGTTGTTCTGTTCTTCTCCACTCAACCCCCAGTAGCCCAAGGGCCCCGACTCTTGCCCTGTAGCTCAGTGCAGACTCCCAGCAAACCCTGGGGAGTGTTTCACAATTGTTGGCCACTGTCTGACAGAGCAAGTGATTCAATCCACAGGGCACAATGCCAAGCTGACCCAAGAAGGTACTGACTGGGCTGAGTATGTCCCCACTTGGTCACCACACTCTTCTTCCTCCCAGAGTAGAAAAGAATCTCCCCTGCTCCTAAACAACATCATCATTATCCAGAACCATGCCTATTGAGAGAGACCCATACCCATACTTTTAGACCTTTTACAGACCTGTGGTCACACTTGCTCTCACCGTACTTGTGTCACACAGGAGTCAGTGTGTTGCAAGGATAAGATAGAAGATCAAAGAGAGCTGATGTCTTGCCCGGGGTCCCCTAGTTAAGTTGTGGAGATAGAATTTGGATCCAGATGTCTCTGACTCCAAAACCACACTACCTCCCCCAGACCTCAGAAGAACTTTAGAAAACCAAGAACCATCTCTAGCCTCTTGTTTCATCTAAAACTTAACATGAAAATGATGGATGGACAGTGCAGGTTATCAACTCTTAAAGACATACTTTTAAGTAATTACCAGATATTTACAACATTCACATAGACCATTTCAAGAGTTCTATAATTGTCTCCAGATAAATTTGATTTAAAAATAATATTCAAAAAATAGAACTCACTTTTAGTTGTCTTGGCACTGCTGGTAATAGTGCCTATCTCTGATGGCAACAGAAATGATGAATCTTCCTTGGAGCTCATAGTTGATGAAATGATAACTGAGATGATAAAATGCCCTTTTCTTATGCCCATCATTCTACCTGATGGCAACATCACAAATGGCCACGGGCAAAATTCTAGAATCCTGCCTGAAAGGGAGCATAGCAGAAACTGTATCTTACTTCCTGGACCCTGACAGGCACATTTAGCTCCTTTGTTCTTATACCCCTGTCAACTTCAAGACAGAGCAGCAAGATTAGCAGGCTTCAGCAGGCCAACTTCACACACTCCTGGCTCCAGAAGGCTCAGCATGGGTCCTTTTCAAGATGATGATCCCTACTGTCCCTAGCCTGGTCTCTGCCCTTATTTATAGCCTTGGGAGCAACCTGCTCTCCAGTACTGGGATAGATGGCAGGGTCACAGACAGCAGGAGAACCAAATCTTCATTTGAACCTGTGCAAGTGAAAGTAATAAACCTGACCATGCTTTGTCTTTGTTGGTGTTGTTTGCCTAGCTAAAGTGGTTCAGATATATGACTTTTCTATTAGGGAAGAAGAGGTGAGTCTCAGTTTGGGACTTGGTTTCTGCTTATGGGGAATCTGCCAGGTAAAGAATTAAACCCAGAGAGATGGAAGCCTGGGACAGATGATGTAATTGTAGGTCTGTGAAGGGAAGATGAGGAGGCGCTGTCTCCACTTGGGAACATGGGCAGCCAGGTCTTATTCAGACTGAGATTGGAGACGTCCTGACACAGTTACTGCAGGTGGAGCATAAAGTGTATTTATTTGTCAATTAAACAATATTATGAATTTTTTTTAAAAAGCACGGCATACAGTTATAGCATGGCCTCCAGCAGAGATCAGGAGCCTGCTACACACTAGTTTTGTGGTCATGATCATCACAGCTATATTTGGTTATCCTTTGAAATATTACCACTATAGACCTTATCCATTCAGCATGACAGTAAGGAAACATCTCACAGACTAGATCTGTGGGCACCAGAACACGGCTGTGGCAGAGTAGATGGATGAAGAGAGAAAACATAATTTGGCTTGGTGTGGTGGAGCATCTTGAGAAAAGACCCTGTCTTGGGAGTAGGAGAGTCTCATATAGACAGAGGAGTGGAAGAAAACAGCTGGAACAGAAAACATGATACTGTGGAGGCTGAGAAACTGTGCTCTACAGATTCCTGCTGAACTGAAGGGACATTTCTGATGGAGACAGTGGGCCCCTCTCCACACCTTCCCCCAGATTGCCTTATACTAGCATAAGGCACACTTTCCCACCCATGTGATCAACAATGGTATTTTTATTGGTTTGATTTGTATGTCTTGATTATACCACTATCAATTAGTACAGCCTTCTAAGAGACCAATTTGGCTATAGGTAGCAAAATTGGAAATGCTCCTACTTTTTGGCTCAGTAAGTAATACCACAGCTAGAAATCTATCTCAAGGATACATTCACAAAAGTACCCAGAGGTGAATGTCCAAAGGTGGTGATGGAAACATTCATTGTGAGAACACAGCCCACTATGGGAGCAGGCCAGTCAATTATGATCCACCCATACAAAGGCATCCTGCAGTTGTAGAAACAAATGTGAAAAAGCAATATGAGCTGGTTTCCAAAAGTACTGTGGAGTAAGGGAGGCTGTCGGAGAACTGGGGTATGATATGATCCCATATATGATCCAAGTTTTAAATGTAAGCATAGGCAAGCATATGGGTAAAACCTTTCTGGAATGGTCCACCAGAAACTGTTGACTATGGATATTTCTGTAGTAGGAACAGTAGTTTGAAGAATCTTGTATTTCGTGGCTTTCCCTATTTTTGTTTGCAATTTATCCATGTCAAAAGAAGGGGTGGGGATGGGGCAAAGAAGGCCGAGATATGGCCATGGGAATCCATATGGTTCATGAAGGAGGCCAGCAAGCCTGTGACTGTATGTCCTCTGGAATTTCTTAAGGCAGCAACTTGTTCTGAAGGCACAAAGGAGGTATGATGACTACAAGAATCTATCCTTTAGCCAGGCAGGGTGGGAGCACAAAGACTTGGATGACAGTCTCCCCCACTGACCCCTGAAAGCCACTGTAAACATTGGGAAGTCTGTGATGTTCCTGAACGCCCTGGCCTCACAAAGCCCAAGAATGTCCTACCTCTCCCCCATTTATGTTCATGACTTGGGCTATTTGGTCATCACCATGGTTTTGTGTTTCACAGGAGATACCCTGGCTCCGACAAGACAATGCTGCAGAAGTGGCAGGTACAGTGACTCCTCCAGAGGGAAGCCCTCAGAATGTAAGCTAGAGAATGTCTAAGGCCCCAGTGAGAGGAAGTACACAAATTAACCAAGAAAGGAGCTTTTTCAAAAATTTACCAAAATGTTTCAAATATTTCCTGAACAGATCTCAGTGGTGAAAGGCAAATCTTGAGCATTGGAGTCAGAACTGAGGAGTGAGTGTGTTATGTGTGTGCATGTGTAATACTGTGCACAGGAGTGTACTTCAGTGTGTGCACACACATCCCATCCATAAAGATACAAACATACATACCCACTTGGAACATGGCTGTCACTTCTTGTTTTTGGGAAGGCACACGCATTAACATAAGTTGACATTCAGCCCAGGGTTCTCAGTGAAAGGAGGGGATCTCAAGTGGACCAGCTGTAGAGATCATGAAACAAGAAAGTAGCTCTTGGTCACACATCCAAAACACTCTCTCAAGGAGCAGGCTGAGGAAGAGAAGAACTCTAAGCATGCAGGCCCCACATGAGAGATGATGGCTATATCGGACTGCTCATTCACCAAGTGACCTTGGTGAATTGTTCCCAAATACAGTCCCAGTCTTCATTTCTTTCTTTTTTTTTTTTT